GCCAAAGTTATCTGGCCTGGCAAGTGGTATGGCGACCGCAATTTTTTATTTTTAGTCGTTATTAAGGAGATGCTGCTGCTCATCTCCTGATTTGTTTCACTCCAGAATGTCATGTCCCATGTCCAGAAGTCGCTTCATACAGGGCTAAACATCTCGGCACGCCTTTAAGGTTTAAAGGCAATGTATAACTGTTATTTAAATTAAAAAAAAAAACAACAAATCAGTATAAACAATTTAATTTCTCATTGCCAAAGTAAGTACAATTGGCTCACTAGATTTTCTTATTCTAAATGTTTACAAATACTATTTACATTTTATAATAATTAGTAATTATAGTGCGTTCATAATTTCGCGCCTTGTATAGGTATCAAAGTTATTTATTTAGATAAGGTTAAAAAGGATGGGATCAGTAAAATAAATAATTTAACGTAAAAGTAAAGAAATATTACAGCATATACAACATGTAACAAAAACCCGATGGTTCCCGTTAAGAGCGTGATCAGAATCAGTATTCAAACGTATAAAAGTAATCAAAAATCAAAATAAAATAAATCTGGTCAACCAAACACTTAATATTGACAACAAAACTACTTTGAATGCAAAGATATAGTATTAAATTGGCTTAAGCCACTCACTTATGAGAAAGTAGAGGACATAATTATGTTTCAAACAAAGATTTACGTCCGCACATATTATAGGCTATACACCCATGCTCTGTCCATAGCATACATTCTCACTCGTGCACCCATTATCAAGACACACACATAAACACCCTTGCACATAAGGCTGGCAAAAGGTTTACACTTACACTTACAAACACGCGCGTGCACAGACACACACACACACACGTCTTCACAAACATACACTTACGCACTTTTTCCCATTCAAACACACAAGAGTAAAAATTGCATGCATACTTTATTTTTAAATTGTTATCTTGTTTAAATATACATAATACATAACATATATAATACATATTATATATGTTATGTATTATGTATATTTAAACAATACTTCACACCTATCACCCGGAGGGGTAGGCAGAGACTACAGACTTCCATTTGGCACAATCCTGACACACCTCTCTCGCCTCCTCCACATCCATATATCTACACATGCTCGTCGGTTAAGGGTACTCCTAATTCGGCCCGTTTTCAATATAAACCCCCGAATTTGGTTGATAAACTTTCACCAAAGACGTCCCTTTCTGACTCTGCCGTTCACTTCTGCAACATAAATTTGCTTTGTCACTCTATCCTTATTCATTCTTTCCATGTGACCAAACCACCGAAGCGTTTCTTTCTTAATCCTGGTCACAACATCATCTTGCAAACCATACTCTTCTCTTATTACAAAATTTCTCACCCCGTCATTCAGATTCACCCCTAACATACTCCTTAACGACCGCATTTCTACCGCGTTTATTCTACTCTCGTGCTTCTTCTGCCACACCCAACTTTCGCTACCATAAGTTAAAGTAGGTACTAACACAGCATTGTGAATTGCCATACTTGCCTTTTTTGACACATTAAAATTTTTCACAATAGAGTGTAGGGCCCTATTTACTTTATTTCCTGAGTTCACTCCTCGTTCTACATCCTTATCATATCGCCCATCCTTGCTAAATCTGATCCAAAATGTATGTTGTAAAACTGTTCTTGGAAGAGCGGAATTTCTTAGGATAAGCAATTTATTTAGCTTAAAAGGAATCTCCAAACGTAGCATAGTTGTATTTTTAGACTAAATTGGACGAAATAAAGCTTTTCTGATTTTTTGATAACTTTACTTCAGAAATATCAAACATACAAACTTAAGTAAAATTTAATAAATTCTTATTTGCAAATTATATATGGTTTTATTATCTCTGCGTTAGCCGACAAATAAGAGTATTTATTGTCAAAGACTCTGCTATACCGACGCGCGTGTTAGTTACAGGTAATGAAACTACATACAATTTGCAAGTAAAATTTGTTTTAATTTTTATGATAGAGTTTTCTGAATTAAAGTTATTTCTATTTGACTACTTACTTTGATAACGCACTTAACGGGAATCACAGGGCTTTTGTTAGTTCGACCGGCGTTGGGTCGGCTCGACCGGGGAAGGACCACGCTCTCACATAATACCAGCGTACAATAGCAGCTTAATACTGCTGTGTTTCATATGGTGAGTGAGTGATCTCTATGATTCGGAGACCTTTTTTTACTGGAAACGAGGCATTTCATCTTAGTCCTCACTGGTGACAACGCATCTGTGTTTTGATTCTTAATCGAGGATAGATGTAGATGTCTATAGGCCGCAGCAACCACTTACCATCAGGTGGACTGTGTGCTCGTTTGTCACTCTATACCATAAAAAAAGATTGATTAAAACTACTTTTACGGATTTTATCGCGTTTTATTTATATTAATTTTAATACCCGACGTTTCGGGTGCTTTCCAGCACCCATGGTCACGGGGGATTGAGGTGACTGACGTTCCGATGTCAAAGTTAACCCGGTGTACCTTCAGCTTCTCCGATCTACGCAGAATGAACTTCTAGTTCATTCTACGTAGATCGGACCAAAGACAATAATTAAAAAGCTGAAGGTACTCCGGGTTAACTTTGACATCGGGAACGTCAGTCACCTCAGTCCCCCGTGACCACGGGTGCTGGAAAGCACCCGAAACGTCGGGTATTAAAATTAATATAAATAAAACGCGATAAAATCCGTAAAAGTAGTTTTAATCAATGTATAGTGTTCGCGTAAATATAAGAAATCATTATAAAAAAAGATGCTGCTGCCATTCTCCTGTTTCAATTATGTATCTCTCCTCTATCGCATGGGTTGATACGGGGCAATGGATATTCTTACACCGTCACTACCCGGTGGAAGTCACTACACCGTAATGACGATGAGAAATTGGATAAAAATTAAAACTGAATAGGTAATTAGTTTTAAAAATGCACTACACAGATCACGAGATTATGGTCATGTTAAATTTAATAAACGGCAAACCAATTCTTTGATAGTGCCAACTTCATACAAGCTTTTTAAACTATAATAAAATAAATACGTTATATTATGCATGAACTAGTGTGATGAGGCTGCAACTAGGGGAACTTTTAAAAAATATGCTTTAGACATGTTTTTCGTTTTTTATGTTTAAATGCTCTCGAATATACAGTATTTTCAATTTTTAAACTAAGTAATGTAATAATACCTCGTTTGAAAATTGATAATTAGTATTAATATTTAGTACATAATAGCATCTATTATTATGCACTAGAATTAAGTTGTATTCCTTTACAACCATTTCGTGAAACTAAATAATTAAGAACAACCAAGTGGTAAAATGAAACATTTTGTACAACCGACTTCATTATAAATAAAATGAGAACATCATAAATGTAGTTGAAGTCAATTAAATACGCATTATTACGGATATAACTCATTATCTACTAGTCAGATCTTGATCAAATGTGTATGGGACTACATGAAAATCATCAGCTTACAAATAAAAAAAATCATCAAAGTCGGTTCACCTAAAATAAGTACTGTGACTCATAAAAACAATTAAAAAATATAGTCGAACTGAGTACCTCCTCCTTTTTTTGAAGTCCGTTAAAAAGAAGCAAAAATGATAGTAGCCTCAATACTAAGTAACTCTATTGCATATTGTTAAGATGCCTAATGGTAGGATGCGGACCGCGAACTCAAAAGGCAATGGGTTCGAATCCGCCGTTCGACTACTGTAGTAAACCACTCCTAACACAAGAGTTTTACGCATGAAGGAGTGGTTAAAGGGAATAATAGTAATATTAATGGCATTGCTAGTATGTTTCCTTTTGTAAAAAAAGATTAAAAATAATCTATATTAAGCTTTGATTAGGCGAAGGTCAAAGAAGACCAGAATGGTATAAGTGGTATATAATTGTGTTAATTAACAGACATATTAAAGTATAAATTATGAATATATTAAAAGTTTTCCACGTTGCAGCAACACTCAGGAGAAAAATTACCACTAATATAATGACTAAAAGGCATATTATGGCTTTAGCTTACAGCTAAATAAGGTACAATATTATTTACATGACGTTAATTGTTAGAATGATTTTTGAAAGCTATTTTTACTTTAATGGAAATGTGTTTCTGTTTTCACCGAAACTTCGCCGCTATTAGCATTATTAAACACGATTTTATTAGCTTATTTTTTATTTTGACTTTTTTCAAAAAACGTCAGGTATAAATATCCTTTTATACTGGTATAATTTAATCAGTTATTTTTTTGTGTTATTACTGAAAAGTATTTTAATTTAATTATACCGTTAATCGATGATCAGAACAAGGATTAACATTTTTCAAAGTTCAGGTATCATTTTTGAAACACAGGGTTTAGCTAGTGGATCGTCAGAAAATTCCAACCTCCAAAAATCAAAAATGTATCATAAATTCCTGCCAATTAAAAATCATAAGTACTTAATTTAAGACTATATAAAAACCATCTCCATCATTCAAATCCGCATCTGAGACTTTATAACGATTCTGTGCCATATATTTCATCTTAATTTGTACCTTGATCAGTTTTTAGATTAGTTATATCAATGATTAGCAATAATGCTTTAAACATTTATCCTATATTTTCGGAAACGGCTCTAACATTTGGATGAAATTTTGTATTTAGACTGTTGTTTTACTTTCCAAGTTCCTCTGGATGGGTTTCATCGCTGAGACAATTTTGTTACTATATTACATGCGTCATTTAGTAATCGTTTAACTTCTAAACAACTTCACTTCACAGATTTTTTAATATTTACATCCTATAATATTTATTTTGTAAAGACAATGGTAATGACTATTCTAGGATCTGATAGGTAGCAATGTAGACAAGTTATTTACAAATTCATATTTATGGAAAAAATTTGGCAATTTTTATGAATCAAAAAATAAAGGTGAAAAAGATTGTTGAATTTATAATTTGCCAAAGATGAGTGATAGAAATGGTTATATGTTGGTGGTATGTCAGTTGGAGTGGTTTCTGGTGGGATGTGGTGTGTGGGGCACGTGCAGGGTGTGCGGCGGCTGCAGCGCAGGGTTGGCGACGGCGATGATGCTATCTCCACGGGCTGCTACTATTTGCGGGCGGCTCTCTTCCGTTTCCTGTAATAAATTTAAATAATCGTTACTTCTTTAATGAGAAAGTTAAAAGATGTCAAAAAACCAAACTATTTTTTTCAATCAACCTCATTATAAACAACTTTTTTTAAGAAGTGAGGGGTGACAAACGAGCCCACAGTCCCTTTTATAGTAAGTAAACGCTATGGCCCATAGAGATCTTCATCCATCATCTGCAATCAATGCAAATGTATAAGGAAAAATATATTAATTGAGGCTGCTCTCACCGCGTATCACGGCTACGTATCATCGGTGCTTAGCTATGGGATATTGCTTTGGGGTAACTCTGTTGAGGTAGAAAGAACACTTTTAGTTCAAAAACGATGCATCCGTGCCTTAAGCAATATTTGGTATTTAGATAGTAGTAAACCTTACTTTAAAAAATATAATAATCTTCCATTACCTTGTTTATATATCAGAGAAGCCTGTCTTTTTGTCAAATCATTCCCTAAGTGTTTTAAAACTCGTTAAGATACTACCACAAGGCGTTTAAGAAGCAAATATGCTGACCTAATATATCAATCTTCCTGTAATAAAGAATATATATATATATATATAAGAGAAATGTATACAACATGAGCATATTGTTATATAACCCATGAATTTAAAAGAAAAAGAAGGAGCCTCTTTCAAAAATAAATTAACGAAATGGTTATTGAAAAATTGTTTCTATAGCCTAAAAGAATATTTAGAATGGAAAAATTAGTTTAATGACTTATGTGCTTCACTTATATATATTTTTTGTTTTGAATATGTGCATGTCTGCGAGCAGACTAAGCACACATACATTATAGATATTTAACTTAAGACCCTGTCAACTGTGTTTCATGCGAATAAAGATTTTGTATTTGTATAAATTCGTTGTCACCCCTGAAGACCAACACGGGATACCTCGTCATTAAACAAAAACGTAGCAGTATTATACTGCTGTTTGTCTGTGCGAGCGTAACTTTTCCCCAGTTGACTTGATTGTGCTCCAGCTATAACACGGCTGCTACGAAGTTGAAATAAATAAAATTAGCCTAAACGTCTAAAAAAGAAGCTTAAATGCCACGTCACAAGTAAAAATACACATTTTACTGGTATTAAAGCATTCCATCTGAGTCCTTAGGGCGACAACGCATATGCATTTTGATTCTTCATCAAGGATAGGTGTTAGTGACTGTGAAGGCCTTAAATTGTGACTTTGAAATAAAGATTAATAATATAACATGTTTATTGTTTACTAATAGTAAAAGTATCATAGAGCCCCTTTGTGTTATAGGAGCATCGCCACTGGGAGTAAAGCTTATATATTCGTATCACCTAGCTTCTTGTCTACTTAATACATAACTCTGAATTTATGCAAAACTAAATTTAATATACTTACGTTTTTATAATTAAGGGTACTTAATTAAATGGAACGCCAATAAGTAGTACATAACAAATTAGGTTGAAAACTAATTTTATAAGGCTTTCGTCACATTGTGAAAAAATATGAAAATAAGCGAATTAAAAAAATGTGAAATAAACTACCAGGATCTCCATTTATACAATCGTATTTGACAAGAAAGCATGATGTCTTGAAACTTACTGGTGGTGGAGTACTAGTACTGGAGTATGAGCACCTGGAGTCCGCGTCGTCACTTTCAGTCTTCATTCCCCACCAACTGGAATCGGAAAGATGTAAATTTTAAAATAGTAAAACGTAAAATAATCAAGGGCGCTTTTTATTCAAACTGGCAAAGTACGTGACCAATAGGAATATAAGATTTACCTATGATTAGAAGCTCCTCTGGTAGCATCAGGACTTGCCCGGACACCATTACCTTCATCTCCTTCCTGTAAGAGATTTACGTCGTAAGTTCCATGGAAAAAATTATTTTAATAAGTTTGTAATTTTTTATACAGTCGAATATGAGATTTTAATAAGATTCAGAAAACTATTTGAAAATGCAAATCATGGAACTTTTTTAATTAGTAATATGAGTTTATAAAGGTAGCTTTGGAACTAAGACCGTTAGATTGTTTATACTTTTAACATTTACATTTAAATAAAAACATGACTGTTGACTATTTACAAAAATATATAATATATTTCATTGCACTATTACAAAAACCTTATTGGAAAAAAAAATCAATTGTAGTTTGATCCAAAAATATTCACATTTATAATCGAAGTAATAAATAATCAATAAACCAGTTACATCATGCTAAAATAATATAAGATAATACTTACCGCTATTTCGATTTGCCATACCCGTTAGTCTAAATAAAAGTAATAAAACTAAAATACGTTTTATGCAAAATAATTCATCTTTTTAAAGCATTTGATAAAGTGATGCATGCTTACCTGTATATTAGCTAAATAAAAAAGAAATACCTTTTATTTAAAAAAATATAAATGCAATTTAAAATGAAAATACGGATAGAAAGTTATGTACAAATGTTATTATGCGAAAGTTATGTAAAAATATCTGTAGGGTGCCTCAGGGCACAATATTATGTCCCCAAGTTATCTACGTAGTCATTTTACGTTTGTCTATTATGTGAGTATACCGTGTATATTTTTATTTTTACAAATTTTATAGAATTATGAGATATTTTAAATGTAAAATTCCTTTTCTATTTTAAGTTAATAATTATCTTGTTTAAAATACCTTTCTTGTCTCGATGAAGATTATATTTAAAAAAATTACGATTGCAGTTTTAGTCCTTACTTAAAAACGAAAGCTTAAGATCTTTTAAGAAAACATCTATACATTTTCTTTAATTTTCTAAGAAAATATAGAGTGTAACTAGAAAATCATGGAAAAATAAGTTCTGGGCTTATTTTTTTAAATTTAAATATTTAATATTGTTTTAAAATAGTTCATGCAATTAAAAGTAATATATTGTACACTATTACTGTACTAAAAGACGCTTAGCATATTAAACAAGATGAATATTAAACAGCATTAGCACCAAATGTAAGTAGCGGACTGGTTATGTTATATACATTATCATAGTAAAGTTAATCCCTCATTCCCCTTATTAGAAATTAGTCTTATACCCGAGCTCTGATTATTTTAAAGAAGATTCTAACAAGAATATTTGATCTTGTCTATTCTTATAGAATCTTTTTAATTTTATAAACCCCAACCATTTAATGTTACTTGGTATAATACTAGTAAGTCTAGCAAGCTATATTTTGAAATTTCCAATTCGATTAACTCAGACGAAGTTTGCCAATTTAGTTAAGAGTTAGAGCTAGTTAGATTATATTTAGCAGGTTAGGCTTTCTACTTTAGCTATTAGCTAGACTAGATCAGCTAATCGGTTAGGTCTACATGTGTGATTGGCGCGACCTGCCGCGGTCGTTTATTTGGCGTCTCATCCTCATCTCGTTCTCGATCCTCTATCGTCGCTGTGGGGGGGAGGCTGAAAAAAAATGGAATTTTACTATAATTAAAGGACAAGATGCAGTTTAACAATACGAAACATTTCTATAGGTGATACGTTATTGATATATACATGTCACTTGTTTGGCATATACAATCTAAAGCAATTATTCGGGGCTTGAATACTATATAACACCTTTTGAAAGTCCACCAACAACAAGTAAACCCAGCCTCCCTGTGAGTGTAGATAGAATTAATGGACCAAAAGTTATAGCTAATATGTTTAGAGATAGCTTTTCTGTGAAGTCATCATTGGGACCACCGCAGTATAAATATGAAGCTCGGTCTAAGGGCCAGGAGTTTTCTACTAAATTTACAGGTAAAGATGTTAATAACGTTGTAAGATATATGTCAGGAGGTAAGTCTCCTCACGATGGTCTCAGCATTGAGCACCTACGCGCCGGGCCTCATCTACCGGGAGCATTAGCCATGTTCTACACACTATGTATAGGACATTCGTACTTGCCCACTGAAATGACCAAAGCGGTGGTGGTGCCAGTTATAAAAAATAAAACGGGTGATTTAAGTGACTAAAATAACTATAGACCAATTTCGATGGCCACGATTCTCGCCTGCTTGATGGTCCACATGCTTTTTATTAGAGAAACATCTGAAGCTACACGATAACCAGTTTGGTTTCAGACCAGGTCTTTCCACAGAATCTGCCCTCTTGTGCTTAAAGCATACTGTCAAGTATTGCTATACAGACCGACAAACACCCACTATGCCTGTTTCCTCAATTTGTCGAAAGCGTTTGACTTGATTAGCTACGACATTTTGTGGCAGAAATTAGATAGTATCAAGTGGCCTGCTGAATTAAATAATATATTTAAATATTGGTATTCAAACCAAGTTAATGTCGTACGATGGTCAAGTGCCTATTCTGAGCCATACAGGTTAGAATGCAGGGTGAGACAGGGGGGTTGACCTCACCTAAACTATTCAACTTGTACATTAATGCACTGGTAGAGGAGCTCAGCAGTAGTCATGTCAGCTGCCATACTGACAAAATATGTTTGAATAGTATTAGCTACGCGGACGATATGGTGTTGCTGAGTGCCTATATCTGTGGCCTAAGTAAGTTCAAAGACCTCTGTGAGAAATATACTGTTAGTCACGGACTAAAATACAATGTAAGCATAAGTGATAAGTATGATCTTTCAGGCCAGAAACAAAAGTCCACTTGTAAACTGAATGGAATCCTCCTGAAGAGAGTAGAACATTTTAAGTATATTAGAAATTTGGTAACCTCTGACCTGAGGGACAATTTAGATATTGATGGAGAGCGCAGGTCGTTGTCTGTAAGAGCTAACATGATAGCCCGCAGGTTTGCTCGTTGCACAACGGAAGTTAAGATTACGTTGTTTAATGCTTATTGTACATCCCTCTATACGAGCAGCCTCTTGGTGAATTACTCTCAACATCAGTACAGCACCCTGCGCGTGCAATATAATAATGCATTTCGGGTGCTAATGAGGCTGCCTCGGTTCTGCACCGCATCGGGGATGTTCGCTGAAGCGCAAGTGGATTGCTTCTACGCAATCATACGTAAACGGTGTACATCCCTGGTACGTAGGATTCGGGCCAGCTCCAATCACATCCTAGTGATGTTCTCGAATATATCGAGTTGACTGTCAGTATCTGAACCATTGTTGTATGGTTCATGTACTGGCAAATAAATAATTCTAACAATTGTTGATTTCGGGTTAAAAGATTTTTATTTATTCTCCTATTTATTTTTATTCAACTTTTCTTTATTATTATAATTAATTAGATACTATAAATAGGCTATGTTATCACTTATCACATAATTATACTGATTATGTTTTATGATCTTTGTTGGTCGAAATAAAGATATTATTACTATTAATAAATAATGCCTAAATAAAGTTAAATATGCCTTCTTTTCTGACAGCGAGACAAAAGTTTCTAATAGACGTCTGTGATCAACAGTGGACTATTAAGAGGCTTTAAGTCGAAAAATGAGCCACTAGTTTTATGAAGATCATTACATAGTAGATTCATGCTACAGCTATATTATGATTGAGTAAGAGTGGTCAGTTCGACGGGAGAAGTAATACGCTCTCACAGAGTACCAGCGTAATGCTGCTGCGTTTACTTATGGTGAGTGTAGAGAACCATTTTACTGGAAACTAAGCATTCCATCTTAGTCCTCAGAGGTAGAGATACATCTGCATTATGATTCTTAATCAAGATTACACTTACCATCAGGTGGGCTGTATGATCGTTCTTCACCCTTATAAAAAACATACATGTGTCGAATAGAATGGAATAATTTTTTATTCAATATAGATTACATGTAATTCTTAATAAAAGTCATTTTTTACTTTTGTTACTGGTTTTGAAATAAACCTCTGTCCTGGGAAAAACCAGCAAAAAAACCCATCGGGACTTTTTTGTACAATACTCACCCGTGTTTGGAGTAGTGTAGGCCAGCTCTGCGCACGAGCTGCCTGGCGAGAGGGAACAACTCATCCCTCCGCGTCAGCAGCGCCGGCACACAGCGGCACATCTGTGCGGCCGCCTCATTTACCATCACCTGAGCAAACATATTTTTATACAGTTTGAATATACAGTCCACCTAACCTAACTTTGGGGTCCTGGCCCAATTACTTTAGAACCCAAGATCTCATGATAAGCAGTGTAACTTACGACCACTTCACCAACAACGCAGTCAAATGCTCTTATACAAAGACATTCATACGTTCCAGCAAGCCACTGTCCCTTGTAGCATTTGTGCGTTGGCATCATAGGTATACTAGAATATGTCACGGGTACAATCAGAACATTAACAATCCATAACAAAGATGTAGTTTTCAACAAAAATTGATTACATCTACAATTTGAACTTGGAACCCGCCATGTGGTAACCATGACCATGACCATTTAATCACGCGATTTTAACTTACAAATTAAATTAGACCCTTTTTACTGGAAAAAAAGTGTATCTTAGTCCTCAGGGGTGACGACGCATCTGCATTTTGATTCTTAATCGAGGGTAGATGTAGTTGTCTACAGCATCCACTTATTATCAGATGGACTGTGTGCTCATTGGTTACCGTTATTCTATTACAAAGTGTAGATTATAATAATGTTTACAGTTTAATTTGGCTTTGAATCTACTTACCTCATGCAGTGTTAATGGCTTCTCCGGCTTCCGTTTACAGTCAAACCTGCCGTATATCGCCGCGTACTTCCTTATCTCCTCCATCCTCCTTGGATCTGACTCGGGCATCATCATCACCAGTTCTAAGTCTTTACACATCTTCTTTTTAGTATTCTGCGGCTTTGGTTCTAATTGGGGCAAATGTTTGCTCAATTTCTCCGCGGCCGCAGCTAATTTCTGTACATGAACATCTAGAAGAACTGGTGTTAACTGAACTGGTGATGTAACAGAGCTTGGACTAGAACCAGAGGAAGCGGGAGGACAAGCACTTTGTGGTGAAAATGATCTGGTGGTGGTTGTGACTGGAGTGGTCGCGGCAGGAGACGACGGCAAGACAATTTTGGTAAAAGTGGCTTGATTATGTACAGGACTGACGTTAGGGTTAGATGTGGTGGACCCACAACTATTGTCCGGGGCGCCTGGAGATGGACTGTACATTGGTCTGCTACTTTCAGGGGACGCTACAGTTCTTGGAAGGACATTGGGGATTGTCGGAGGAATGTTCAGTAGTCTTTGGTTGCATTGGATAAAAGGGTTCTCTGTGGGGCATATGTTGGGGACGATTGGGATCTGAAACAGGGCTGGGTTATTGACCCATTCTTGAAGGGCCTTCTGGAGACGCCTGACATGAAGCGGTTTGGACGCCATGCCAACTAACGCCATAATTTCTAGGAATTCTTCCTCACCAGCATCACATAGTTGTTGGACATCATCGCCTCCTGAAAAAGTGTATTGAAACTTTACTGACATATTTCATTGTTCAGGAACATTATATTCTAACGATACCTCTTTAATCAAATGTAATATTTCGTAGCAATAATAATAATGTGTCTAGTACACATTATTTAGTATACATTTTTTGAATATCGTGACCAAAAATCAATATTCAAAAACTGAAGACAGTCGGGCTAACTATGATATTGAGACATCAAACATCCGTGACCACAAGTTAATTAAAGGCGATAAAATCCATATAATTATATAGTTTTATTCAATGTGTAGTGTTGTGTTGTAAATTTAAGAAATCATTAGATTACAATTGCAAATATATTTATATATTATTTTATTTATATGCATTGTTTTATTTTTTTATAAATTTCTTTTTAAAAAATAAAAATGGATCGATTTATTTATTTATCAATAATCAATCAATAATCAATAAATTTATCGATCAATGTCCCAACCTTGCCCCATCACTATGGTTCGGAGCATTCTAAGTTTAACCTTGAATTATCCAATCACAGCGCATTTGACACGTCCCCCGCAACTCGAAATTTGGTGAAATCGAAACAGAACAAATATTCCATGATGCGGTATCTAATATCCTCTCGTCAGTCCAAAACCTTCTAAAGGTCGCTATTAAAAAGGTACGCGTCTGTCTACAACCTTTAGAAGGATGCTATTTACATATAAACTTCAGGGTTGGACAGTTGCGCCAAAGCGGGCATGAGAGGTTAGGAGGTAATCTGTGTTTGTACTCAAACGATCCCTCATGTGCGGTTGCGCCAATTGTAAACCTAATTTATTTAAACAATTGCTTCGGAATATGTTGTCAGGAGTGTTCTAATGTTTAGCATCAATAAAAACAACATAGAATTGACACCAGCCTGATCCAGCATACCATAGAATTATCGAAGCGGCCTACGTCTGGTATTGCTAGCCGAACTATACGTATACACTATTTTGTTGAACGTATCGACTCCACATACAGTTCGATACTGTTCATCCGAAATCATTTCCATCACCATTTTCACCTCAGAAACCAAACATTTACATCAGTATCAAAAAAAAAACTTACGTAAGAAGCAAAAATAGCAACTTACTGTGACACGTTGACGTATGCAACTGATTGCATTCACTCCAATTGGAGAATAGATCGAACATTAGAAATAAACAAAAACAACACCAAAAATATTTAACCTTTTTCGAGTAGTGGGGTGACGGGTCACCCCTGTTGCCTTCCTAAGGTTATGAATCAAACTGTAGTTGCGTTGTCACCCCTGAAAACTAAGATGGAATGCCTCGTTTTTAAGAAAAAGGGTCTCCGGTTCTCTACATTCACCATACAAAACACAGCAGCATTAAGCTGCTATTTTACGCTGATATTCTGTGAGAAGTGAAACTCGGTCGAGTCGACAGCGTCGCTCCACATCAGTAAGATAATTCTTCACCCCATTTCGTTTCGTGGGTCTCGTAAGAGGCGAATAATAAGAAATTTTAGAGAAATTCTTATGGCTTCCGATAGATGGCGGTATAAACATATAATTTTACACCAGACGTAATACTTGGAACAGAAACGGTTAGCAACGTCAAAGGTGCAATACGCCCGGTGTAACGTGCGTCAATTCACCTGCCAAGTGACGAAGGTAAAGCCTCCGTACAATAGAAGAGAGCTAGTTCCAGCAGTGGACCTGGCAAAAAGAAAGGAAAAAGAAAAGAAGTGGAGTGGAAAAAGAAAGTTGCCTGCAAAGCGTGGCAACTATGGCAAAATCCCCCATTCATATGGAAAAAAACAGGATCTAATCCATGTTTTTTTATAAGAATAGGTTACAAACGAGCATACAATCCACCTGATGGTAAGTGATTACTGTGACTCATAGACATCTATATCTATCCTCGATTACGAATTAAAATGCAGATGCGTTTTCACCTATAAAGACTAAGATGGAATGCCTCGTTTCTAGTAAAAACGGTCTCCGGTTCTCTAAACTCACCATACCAAACACAGCAGCGTTAAGCTACTATTTGACGCTGGTTTCCTGCGAGGGCGTGGTCGTTCCTCGGTCGAGCCGACCCATTCAGGCTACAAATATACTACTAATATAGCTGTAGCATAGCTCCACCATGTAAAAAACCATGTGGGAGGCATAACTTTAGCAATGCACTTTTATAGGCTGTAATGGATAATGGATATAAAGACAACGTTATTCTGATTTTAGTAAAAAGTAAAGTTACGATACAGCTTACTCGTATATGCGTCCTACTGCTTTAGTACACAGATCTCTAATTTCTACAAGGGTTAGCAATTAGTTTGCCTCGCCGCTACAGTGCGTGTTGGAGGCCTTTACATGTAAACGAAGAAGAGCACTTAGGCCCTCAGCGTTTTATAAAACATAATTGTATGCGCTCGTACTAAAATATGGTGGATGTATAAAAAAACAGCGTATTCGGAGAGAACCGGAGACCCTTTTCACTGGAAATGAGGCATTCCATCTTAGCCCTCAGTGTTGCCAACGCATCTGCATTTTGATTCTTAATCGAGGATAGCACACACAACCAACAACCAATTACCATCAGGTGGACTGTGTGCTCGTTTGTCCATTACAGTCTAAAAAGGCCCACTGCTGAACATAGGCACCATAGATTGACTCATAGGCAGGATCTTGCCATATTTGCCACGCTTAGCATGTGGGTGACAAGCGCAGTTTTTTATTATTTAAGTTGTTATCAAGAAGACACTACTGTTCATTATCTGTTTTAATTTCTCTCTGCCGCCTTTTACGAGACCCACAGGACGATCTGGGGTAGGTATCTCTCATACCACCACTTTATATGTGTGCTAGTTTGTCAACCTTATTCTTAAACAGAAAAATAAATAAATTTTCAGAAGCCGTTTTCAGGGTTAAGCGGTCACCGATTCCCATCAACACCAATGACAATAATTGCAATAATTTTAAGTGCTCATTATGAGGAATCCTTGATATATTAGGAATAAAACATTTCGCGGACACGAAATGATTGTTCTACATTACATAGAGCACACGGAATGTTTGAATTTCGAATGTTATATATTTGTTTTAATTTATGAAACTAGTGTATGTACATATTTATAATATATTGAATGAAATAATTTTTAGCCTTTATATTATATCATATAAATAGAATTAAGGGGATAGAGTAAGTCAGCTCAAATTCTAATTTCGTCCCCACTTGCCCGCGCGTCGTATGCTATGTAGCGTCATGTTTGTAATCTGTATACTGTAAGTAGAAAGGTCGTTAGACACTTATTTCATTAGGTTTATCATATTTATGCCCGTTTCTTAACGCCAAGTCAGTCGCTTCTTATTTTTATTACGGTTATTTCCCATTTTAATTTTACCTCGTCCTGTTGCATAATGTATATTCTGATCGCAAGCGACACAACCTCCCCGTTCAAAGGCTGAAGCGAAGTGACCGTGCGGCAAGAATCACGCTTCAAGAGGCCGATAGTTTAGGTAATTTCTTTTTACAGTGAAAATAATGGATGGAATAGATAGTTCAGTTAGTATGCAAAGTTTCATGGTCTTATTTAAAGTATTTTATGAATAACAGCGGTTTATTGTTTATTTTGGAGGTAAATTTGGATTTTTTTTCTATCTACGAGAAAATTTTACGAAATCGTGTTTCCGTCTAACATAAACCTTAACATTAATCCTCAACTTTACCATATATTTATTTCAAAATTAATGCTGCAATATTTTCGGCATAATGAAGGATCTTGCTAAGCCATTTGAGATTATATTTCCCCTTTACGCAAAAAAATTTAAAAGTTAAAGTTACAGTCTATAAACGTCTCTCTGCTGGGCACAGACCTCCTCTCATTTCTGAAAGGTTTTAGGGCAAGGAATGTCCGCTGCACTGTCCTAATGCGTGTTTTTTTCTTCTTTCTAAGACATGCAGGTTTCATCACCAAGGTCACCAAGCACGTGCGTCAGTTAAAATTGTAATTTACAACTCCATTGGTGCAGGCGGGGATCGAACCCGAGTTGCTCGCGTACTGTGAAATTTATAGAGAGCGCTTAGCCCCTGAGTTACTACAGCACGAAAGGATTTTAGGGCAATGATTTTCGTCTTCGAAATGATTTTGGGAGGGAAGTACCTTCCCAACACCGGTGTCTGTGTTTCTCTCTATGATGAAAAAGTGTAATAAAACGTACATAGAATACTTCGATGTTTGATTAATAGAAATTGTTTCATTTATGAGTTACACAAAACTTTCAGTGTACCCCCACCTACAGCCTATCAAAAGATCGCTCCTACAGATTGCCTCGTACGAGGGACATTTCCCATAGTTACCACGCTTGGCAAACGGTTTGGCAACCGCAGTTATTTATTATTACATAGCTGTTATCATGAAGATGCTGCTTCTCATCTCCTTGTTCAGCTTCTCTTCAGGAAGCACGACGCACACGTCTACGACACAGTTAAATTCCTCTGTATCTAATTTCTCTTTAACTTTTCTCATAAAGGTGAAGAGGTCTGTGCCCTGCACAGAAACCTATATGGGGAATAAATAATTAAATCAATTTTTATTTATTACCGAATAAAAAAATAACTTCTACAATGAGGTCCCACCAATGCCTTGATCACTATTAATATGCAAAATTATCTAGTGAGGCAAGTTCATTTCGACATCATTGTTCCCCGCAAAAACGTGTGATTCGGCAAAAAACATCGGCTCACACTCCAATTTAATTTAGGCAAATATGCAAATGTCTTACGTGACCACGTTGCGAAGGGGCTTAAGAAAAAAAAAACAAAAGGATAAAGCCGGCCAAACCCTTCCTCAGACTGGATAATTGCCAGTTAAAAAAGTAAGAAATTAGAAAAAAAAGAAATTTGCATGGGACGTCTGCGCGGTTTTTTCGCTTATGATAATGTATTTTTTGATTTCGTTTGCCTCTTCCAACGATGAGAAAATATTTTTTTGAATGTTCCTAAACTGAATTATACTAATGATGTTCAAACCAAATTAAGCAGGACGTTTTTCTGTATTAAATATATTTTATTGAATTTTGAAGAAATATTAAAAAGTTATAATTTAAATTTGTAATTTACAACACCCGATAACAAGAAGTAATTAAGTATTTAGTCATCTTATTATTTTTTTTATTTTAACTTGAAACATACGAGTATTTTTACCGCGTTTTTAGTAAATCGCCATCTTGTATGTGTCTGCAACATCAACAATCCACATTCCACAAAACAACATCCCGATGAGCTAGGGACTTCAAACTTTGACCATAGCTCAGAATCGGATAAAAATGTAACAATATGAAAAACGACGTAATATATTTAAAAAAATCACATAAATAATTATGTGTATTTAAGACAATATATATTTCTAAAACTTTTTTAAATTTAGCACAGTTAGTAGGTTTGGGCGTACGCAGTGGAAATTCATTACAAGCAGGACTACAAAAAGATTAATTTATATAGATCAAGATAAAAGTGTTGTACAATACGACCTAGCCCGCAAACAAAGGCAAAGTGGAACGTTTTTCTTTACTTTTACAAAACGTAACAAGTATTTTATTTTAATTGCATTCAATAAGAAATGTTAAGATTGTGTAAACCGCGTAAATTCTCAGATACTAAAAAGGTTTTGTATTCATTACAACTCATCAAAAGACCATGGCAGATCGTTGATTCCTCCACCAAAGATTGCATATACTTTATATAGTGTACTGCCATAGCTGCCACGCCTGGCAGGGTAGGTTGGCAACCTCGTTTTTATCACCGATTTTTATTACCTTTATTGACGCTACCGGGATGATATGAGGCAGTGGCATATCATCACCATCTAAAATTGTAAGTTTTTTTCTTTATAGAATAAGGGTAACAAACGAGCATACTGTCCACCTGATGGTAAGTAGATGCTGTGGCCCATAGACATCTACATTGATCGAATCAAAACTGAGGACTAAGATGGAATGCTTCGATTCCAGTAAAAAGGTTCTTCGTATTTCTACACTCACCATACGAAACACAGCAGCATCAAGATTCCAACTCACCTCCCCCCACTTCAAATTTCATAACCAAATTTATGTTTATTTACATTGTATGACTAGTATTTTAATTTAGTAGTTTTAGCACCTACCAACATCTATTCATTTCCATAAGTTACGGAATAACGCCATAAAGCCCCACCCTAGTATTACATAAGGATTAAATTACTGATTAATACTGTACACTACTAGGATTGCCATATGGTCAGGGTTTGTCTGGATTCCCCAAAATCAAACTCAAAATCTCAAACTAAAGCTTCATTCAAATCACAGTTGCTTTTGATTTAATAAAAGCTGAGTTGGCAATTAGACTGAAGATTGAAGTATATTGTTTGAATTTTATATCTACTAAATACTAATAAAGGATCCAAATTATTGGATTCAGTAAAGTCTAATGCCAAATACATGTGGCAACCTAATAATTAAGTGTTCCTACTTAAATTAGAGAGCCGTGGTAGTGGTAGCTCAGATGGTTAACGCTCGTTGTAAATATAACAGAACGCGAGTAGCCCGGGTTCGATCCCCGCCGCCACCAATGAAATTGTCAATTGCAATTTTAAGTGCTGATTTACCACGTGCTCGGCGGTGAAGGAAAACATCGTGAGGAAACCTGCATTTCTGAGGAATAAGAAAAACAAAACTTTCGAAGACATGTGAAGTTCGCCAACACGCATTGGGGCAGCGCGGCAGACATTTCATTCCCCTAAAACCCTTTCAGAAATGAGGGGAGGCCTGTACCCAGCAGTGGGACGTATATAGGCTGTAACTTTACTTTAATTTACTTTACTTAAATTAGTTATGTGTCAACAATGTTAAGTCTTTTTGACGCCTATTCATTTAAAAACTAAACTTTTTATTCCACATTTTTATTTATAATATTTGTTTCTCCCGACAAGAACCCCAAAATCACGATATTTTGAAATTTTGTCCAGATATTTTAGTCTTCCGATCTGGGATTCCCAATACCAACCCATCTCCAGCAACGTGTCGTAATATGCGAGGAGGCTGGCGCGTTGCATCACTCGGTACAGCTGAAGTTCCGCTTCGTTAGCCGGCGCTGATGTCACCACCACTGGAACAGGAAGAACTCTCAATAAATTATCAACTTTTTATACGTGGTAGAGCCACGCTGCAGCTATATTATGGTTGTAGCATAAATAGGTCGGCTCGAATGGGGAAGGTGCCGCTGTGTTTCGTATGGTGAGTGTAGAGATCTGGAGACCCTTTTTATTGGAAACGAGGCATTCCATCTTAGTCCTCAGGGGTTTTGATTCTTAATCGTGGATAAATGTAGATGTCTATGAACCACAGCATCCACTTACAATCAGGTGGACTTTGTGCTCGTTTGTCACCCTTATTCTATAAAAAAACAACTAACTGTTTAGAATCCTCCTCATTACCAGGTGGACTGGCTGGTCATTTTTACTTAGATTTAAAAAGAACTGATTATTAAGTTGAAGTTGAAGAGCCCGTGACTTTTCCTGTAGGCGGTAAAAGTAGAGCACCTTGGGGTGTAAATACTGAACCTTGTCCGACACAAACTGTCCTCTGCCTCTGCGATCGCATTAACTCATGAAAAATGGGTTCCATTCTCCTAGTACATAAAATTCCACGAGTATAGTTTTATTCATTTATCGTAGCCTATCAAAACTCCCCTAGTACTAAATGTAGGACTCCCCTCCCTCCATATCATCATCATCATCATCATTACAGCCCTTTACAAGTCCCCTTCTGAACATAGGCCAGGGAATGCCACAAAGCATAGTCCTGAGCCACCTGCATCCATTGACTTCCTACATCTAGTGGTGGGTCGCCCTACACTTCGCCTACCGGTACAAAGCTGCCACTTGAGAACCTTTTTCCCCATTGGTTGTCGGTTCTTCAAGCTATATGACCGGCCCATTGCCACTTCAGCTTAATAATCCGTTGGTCTATGTCAGTCACTCTCATTCTACTGCGGATATCCTCATTCCTAAGTTTAGTACGCAGAGAAACTCCGAACACAGACCTCTCTATATATTGCCTTATATTAAAGGGAGATATTTGCCACAATTGCCACGCTTGGCGGGCCGTTCGGCAACGGCTGTTATTTTTCCTAGAAGAAATATTACTGTAGGTACTTGGCATTATCCCTTCGAACACTCAACACTATTTTAATCTATTTTTGGTTAACGATTATGTAAATATAATGTACGCGGCCATGTTGTGGCTATTGGGCCACCCCAGCCGCACCTCAACCTGCTGTTACTGATATTGCAAAACTGGTGTAATATTTTATATTTATTTGGTTTATGAGCGACTAGAGGTCGATAGGATAATGCGAATGTACCAATATAGTAGGAACGTGAGGGTAATATACTTAGTCATCCGGCTAATATGGTCATTTTCTTATAACTAAAAAATTACAGCCTTGTTTGTATAGATGGCTTTGCGATACAATAGCCATTCATCGGTCAATCAAATAATAAAGGACAGTTGACATTAGAGTAAATATTTTAGGCGATTTTAGTATGGTGTAATGACGTTAATTTTTCATTATTTACAGAAGCATTCCTAATTATTGCCAAAGCTTGTTTGCCATTCTTTTCTTAATATATTAGTTATATTATACGACTTTGTGTTTATGTCTCTGTCCTCCTACAAGTTTTTGTTATATATTATAGGGCGCCAAAGCTTAAGGTGACCATGTTACCTTCACGTACTTTATTACTATTGTAATATTTCCAATTATTACTTGGTGTTATTAAGAAGGTTCCGCTGCCCATCTCCTGTTTCAGTATTTAGGTAGGTACTAATAGACTTCCTATGATCGCAAATGTTTAATAAACTTAAAATTAGCGTTTAACATATTTATCATTAAAGTTAGGTGTAGTTTTGAGTGTAGACAAATGATTTTTAATTTAATGGTGATAAGCTAATTAAATAAAAATGTTAAGTAAAAAAAGTTTAGTAAGTTTCACGGCCTTTAGCATTATTAATGTTTCTTCTAGGAAAAATAACTGCGGTTTCCTACGTGGGGATACAAGGATTAAAATTACTAATTCAAAACAGTTCAGAAATTTTCCAACAAAAGAACCATTTCCTGCTTTAAATTTAAAATCGTTTGAGAGACTGACATTATTAAATATGATTTCTATCCAAGGCTTAATTTGCATTATTGCTCGAATCAACTAACGATCTTCGAGAAGTAAACGCGACGTGCGTGAGCCAAATAATTTAGTAACTAAAATCGCGTGTAGAGAATACAGCGCAAAAAACAACCCCTTTTAAAACATCCCTAGCTATTACCGAAAAGAACCGACCGTTACCGAACGAAAAAATAAATGAATAAGTTTACATAAAGGGGTTCGATTCTTTTGTCACACAAAACGGGTTGGAATAGACGCGCCAATGCGATCTTTGCGCGGGAAAAATATCGATCTACGTTGCCATGATGAAAAAATGTTACCACCCTTACAATGTACACTATTGTTTTTTATGCGTAGAAAAAATGTGGGGTGGATCGAAACTCCACCCTTGGGTTCAGGTAGAAAAAATATTTGACAAAAACTATATGAGCTACTGAAGTTTACATAGAATTAATAGTACCTATATATACACTAATATTACGTGCGTAAGCATTGAAGAAGATTTACAGCAAAAAAGATGTGATGCTGGTTTCTGTTATTGCTATTGAGCAGAAAATAATATGTATTAATAAACCAATTTAGTGTAATACGTTATTTTTATTTATTTTTATTTAGTGGTAAAATATCGTATAAATTTTTTATTTAGTTTTTCTTGTATTTCTTGTAAAATTTTCTAAATTAAGTTTGGTAGAGAATCTAATAGTAAAATAAATAATTTAAAAAAATAGTATATTAACTTGTGTAATAAAAACTAAACACAGAAATGCATCGATTACAGTAAAAAGTTTAGGTAATTGTTACATAATAATATGTTACTTTAAAATAAAAATTGATTTTACATATCAATATGTTGTTAATGCATTACTTATGTGTAGTAATAAATCGTTGTAGATAACAAACAATTATCGTTATGTAAATTTTGTTGCTTATTTTCCAGTTTGTGAATAATCCAGGTTTATGTAAATATCACCATCTAATATATATATATATACAATAATATTAAAAATATAAAATATCTAAACTGATTAATTTTTTCACCGTCTGGAAAAAATAGTAAAAAAATCATCCAGTACCTACTTAGATAGATAGGTCAATTATATTCACCTACTGGTTAACTTTTTCAAACAAGAAACGCAATACATGCAATTTATAAACAAAATATTTTTTTTATTCCTAATTCCATTGCATTCTAATTTCTTGCTCGATTACTATTAAATTGTATGTATAAATTTATTCCTTTTTATACACCTACTCACATTTAGAGTTTGCGTTTAGACAAAGAAAGGAATAAAATTAGACTTTTTCTACATTCAATAAAAAAACAATCCCAAACACTTTCTCAAGCCATAAAAAAGCTTTTTCTCACTACGGTGTCCAAAAAATGTATTTGCATAATCTTTGAACACTAAAAAAATCGCCTATGCAAATTTGGTGCGAACAAACTGAGAAGGGTTGAAACGGCCAGATGGCCTTGCTTTTGTCTTTTTTTATAATTTCTTAATTTTTTATCTGTTAAATTGGTCACGTAACGTTTTGCATAGTCGGTAGAGTACATAATCATAGATAATATTTAATTTGATGCAGCTCTCACGGTTTCGTAACACAGGTACATTTTTTTTTAATTTCTCCATTCAACTTTTTTTCATCTTAAGTGTTTAAATTAAATTGAATATTGTTTAGCTAAAAATAATACCATTTTATTATAATGACATTTCTGTAAGCACTTTGTTTTTTTTTGCAAAAAATTTGTAAAAAATGTTTAGGATTATTAATCATATTTTTTAATCAAATTTAAACCAAAAATATCATATTTATTTTTGCCCTGTTAGTCTGCCAAACGCACACACACACACACACACACACACACATAACATCTACAATCATTTGGAACAAACTTTTACAGGCTAATAAAGAAAAAAGTTGAAAAAGTTGTGGTTGAATGCGCGTCATGAAGTTGAACAAAGTTTCGGCGTCTTTTAAAATGTAGGTACTTTTAGTATTCCATCTAATCTAGTGTAGAATTTCTTATCTAGTATTTATTTTTTCTATCTAATCTAGTATCCTATCTTCTTTGCTAAGCCGAGATTGGTATTTAACTATTCATAATGTAAGTCCCTCCGCAGTACCTCAAGCACCCTTAAACAGTCTGTCTGACTATTTTTCATCTGTAAATAATATAGGAGTTCTTTATTCCGCCATTCAATGAGGACAACAAAATCTTTCTGGTGATTTCTCGCGTAGGGGTGGATGCATCTTTTGTCACCACAATAAGGCTATATAAAAGTAATGAGTTTATAATGGCAACCGTTTTTACAACGTGTCTCGAGATTTATTAAAGTTTCAAATTTCTAACTGATCGAGAAGTAAGTTTAAAATCGATTGTTAAATTTGAACCAAACAGACTAACAAGCCAACAGAGATACGAAAGCTATTTTTATTAAGAGCTCATATTCTAGTATCATCCGATTCTGAGTTATGCTAAATCGCTCATCAGAAAATTAGTTTAACAAAAGTATATTAACAAAGTTGCTTCCTGTCATCTGTTATCTTAGATCTTTTAAATGTATTTTTATGCGGTTTTCATCAATAGATAGAATGATTCAAAGAGAATGTTTATATGTACAATTCATGCATCGAGATACTAAAATCACTCGTATGAAGCCGGGGCGGATTGCCATTTAAAATAAATTACTAAATTCGACATCAACAGACATACACAAAAGCGAGTTGATAAAAACGTGGTAACTACATATTAAAATAGACAATGTTTTTTGTGTAGTAGTGCTTTCACTTAACTTTATAAATGCAAGTTATTCAAAAATAGACTTTAAAAAAGAAAGCTCGTGGTGCATTGGCTTAGAAATGAGGTACGGCGCTAAGGAGGAGCATTC